TCAACCTTTTTTCAGGCTGTAAGAACTGAGGAAAGATTCATTATTTACACAGGCAGAAATTTCAAAAACCACTTTATTACTAGATTACTAAGTAACAAGTCTGAAGGGATATTTCCCTATAAAAATAAAGAAAGAAAGTATGGCCTTATATTTGCAAGATGGCTTCTTGCTGAGGCTTGATACCCACAGTTCAGGAAGGAAGAAGTAAAAGGACAAAATATATTCTTAGAAAGAAATTATATATATGTGTGTGTGTATATATGTGCGTGTGTGTGTGTGTGTACATATATATATGTACACACATACATATATATAGTTTTTATTGATTTCAGAGAGGAAGGAAGAGAGATAGAAACATCAATTATAAGAGAGAATCATTGATCGGCTGCCTCCTGCAAGCCCCACACTGGGGATCCAGCTTGCAACTCAGGCATGTGCCCTGGCCAGAATTGAACCATAACCTCCCAGTTCCTAAGTCTACGCTCAATCACTGAGCCATGCTGGCTGGGCTAGGAAGATTTCTTTTTATGTTAGGATGAAATCCCTTCCCAATTAATCAAGCCTCTGCCAATATCTCAATGATCAAAACTGTAATCGCTATAATGTAGCCAGCAGCAGCAAAAGAGATACTCTTACATTTGCTTCTACTATTCTATCAATCAGGACTTGGTGTTTTTCTTTCTCTTCATCAATCCTGATTCATCATTTCCCACCAAGACCTGAATGAAATGCTTAGGAAAAAACTCTGATTACTTAGTGGCTCATCATATATCTATAGTGTTTAAAGTTATCTTGTACTATTATTTGTTCAGTGTTTTCTGTGTATATTAATTCACCCTAATAAAAATGACACCAACTTGAATTCTACTTGAATTCTACAGCCTACAGCTTAGTTACCACCTACCTCACACATACACACCAACATACATATCCTATAGAATCAAGTCCAGAATTGAGAAAACAATTGTTCAATAAACACCATTGGAGATCGTAAACAACTCTTATAATTAGAGGACTCTGTTTCGTTCCTTTCTGTAAAATACATTATCTTATTTCTTCTTCTTATTTTTTTTTTAAAGTTTAGCTTTATTTATTTATTTATTTATTTTTTAAATATATATTTTATTGATTTTTCACAGAGAGGAAGGGAGAGAGATAGAAAGTTAGAAACATCGATGAGAGAGAAACATCGATCAGCTGCCTCCTGCACATCTCCCACTGGGGATGTGCCCGCAACCCAGGTACATGCCCTTGACCAGAATCGAACCTGGGACCCTTCAGTCTGCAGACCGATGCTCTATCCACTGAGCCAAACCGGTTTCGCCTCTTCTTATTATTTTGATGATGTGTTATTACTAATGAAATATCATTTAAAATCGTGTTCTATATAGACAGGAAAAAAATAAGAGTACAAAAAAAAAAAACTGAAATGAAAGATAAATGTGCCGTTCTTTACTTTTCATGATAATCGTGTCACAGAAGCAGCCACTTTTTTTTCCTGCTATTGTACTTTTTTTTTTCAATTACAGTTTACATTTAATACTATTTTTTATTAGTTTTAGATGTACAGCATAGTGGTTAGGCAATCATATACTTTACAAAGTGTTCTCTCTGATATTTCCCATACCCAACTGGCATCATATATAATAACTAGCGGCCCGTTGCACAAGGAGATTCATGCAATAGGCCTTCCCTTCCCCTGGCTGCCAGCACTGGTTTTCCTCCAGCATCCGGGACCCAGGCCTTCGCTCCGGCTGGAGCCTTCAGTCCTCACTGCTCCGGCCAGAGCCTTCAGTCTTCGCTCCGCCACTCTGCGCCTGCGTATGCAAATTAACCATCATCTTTGTTGGGTTAATTTGCATACTCTCCTGATCGGCTGGTGAGCATAGCAGAGGGATGGTCAATTTACATGTTTGTCTATTATTAGGTAAGATTACAATATTATCCTATCTAATAAAAGAGAAACACGGTAATTAGCGTATGACCGCTACACTTCCCATTGGCTATCAGGGAGATATGCAAATTAACTGTCAGCCAAGATGGCAGCCAGCAGCCAGGCAGCTTGAAACTAACATGAGGCTTGCTTGCTTCAGTGACGGAGGAAACCAACGTTCCCCACCTGCCTTGCCAGCCTCTGAGCCTGCAGTTTGAAACGTTGTAACAAATATAGAAGCTAAACAAAACCCCAGAAACCTGCTTTCAGCGAGCCTGGATCTCAGAGCTGGAGTTATACATTGTTTCGATTATAGAACCCAAACAAACCAGATACCTGCTTTCAGCAGCAGAGGCCTCAGAACTGGAGCCAGAGCTAAAGCTGGCCCAGAATTAAAAAAAAGAAAAGAAAAAAAGGAGCAGTTGGGAGCTTCAGCCCTCAGCCCCTCACCCAGACTGGCCAGGCACCCCAGTGGGGACCCCCACACTGAAGGGTGTTTGACCAGCTGCAAACAGCCATAATCCCCTCACCCAGGCTGGCCAGGCACCCCAGTGGGGACCCCCACCCTGATCCAGGACACCCTTCAGGGCAAACCAGCTAGCCCCACCAATGCACCAGGCCTCTATCCTATATAGTAAAAGGGTAATATGCCTCCCAGCACTGGGATCAGTGGAGCCGCGAGGCCTCCCGGCACCGGGATCAGCGTGACAGGGGGCAGCGCCCAAACCCCCTGATTGCCCTGCGGCTCTGTGTGTGACAGGGGGCGGGGCCACAACCTCCCTATCTGCCCTGCTCTGTTCGTGACAGGAGAAGGCGCCCCAACCTCCTGATCAGCCCTGCTCTGTGCCTGATACTGGGGAGCTCCCCAACCCCCTGATTGCCCTGCGGCTCTGTGTGTGACAGGGTGCGGTGCCCCAACACCCCCCCACACACACAGGCCCTGCTCTATGTGTGACAGGGTAGAGCCATAACCTCCCCATCAGCCCTGCCCTGAGTGTGACAGTGGCGGCGCCCCAATCCCCTGATCGGCCCTGCTCTGTGGGTGATAGAGGGTGGCACCCCAACCCCCTGATCCGCCCTGCTCTGTGTGTGACAGGGGGCGGTGCCCCAACTCCCCTATCGGCCCTACTCTGTGAGTGACAGGGGGGAACTCCTCAACCCCCTGATGGGCCCTGCTCTGTGTGTGACAGTGGGGAGCTCCCCAACGCCCTGATGGGCCCTGCTCTGTGCGTGACAAGGGGTGGCGCCGCAACCTCCCCATCAACCCTGCCTTGAGTGTGACAGGGGGCGGTGCCCCAACCCCCCAATCGGCCCTGCTCTGAGCCCGACCAGGGGCTGCACCTAGGGATTGGGCCTGCCCTCTGCCACCCGGGAGCAGGCCTAAGCCAGTAGGGCGTTATCTCCCGAGGGGTCCCAGACTACGAGAGGTCACAGGCCAGGCTGAGGGACCCCCCCCCTTCCCCCCGAGTGCACAAATTTTTGTGCACCAGGCCTCTAGTTTATTATATTTCCTACACTGTACTTTACACCCCCATGACTATTTTGTGACTACCAATCTGTACTTCTCAATCTTTTTACCTTTTTTACTTAATCCGCAAAACCTCCTAACCTATGGTAATCAACAGTTTGTTCTCTGTGTCTATAAGTCTGTTTCAATTTTACTTTTTCATTTATTTTGTTCTTTAGATTCCACATATTAGTGAAATCATATGTATTTACCTTTCTCTGTCTGTCGTATTTCACTTAGCATCATACCCTCTAGTTTCATCCATGCCACTGCAAATGGTAAGATTTTGTTGTTGTTTTTAATGGCCAAATAATATTCTATTGTGTAAATATACCACAACTTTTTTTATCTACTTGACTATTGATGGCACTTGGGTTGCTTACATCTTCACTATTGTAAATAAGGTTGTAATGAACATGCAGGTGCATATATTCTTTTGAATTAATGTTTTGGGTTTCTTTGGATATATTTCCAGAAACAGAATCGCTGTGTCATAAGGCAGTTCCATTTTTAGTGTTTTGAGGAATGTTCCATACTGTTTTCCATAGTGACTGCACCAATCTGCATTCCCACCAACAGTGCACAAGGGTGCCCTTTTGCCACATCTTCACAGCACTTGTTGCTTATTGATTTATTTATGATAGCCATTCTGACAGGTGTGAGGTAACATCTTCCTGTGGTTTTAATTTGCATTTCTCTGATGATTAGTGAGTGGCGTTGAGCATTTTCTTGTATGTCTATTGGCCATCACTATGTCCTCTTTGAAAAAGTGTCTATTCAAGTCCTCTGCCCATTTTAAATAGTAGTGTTTGTTTGTTTTTGGTGTTGACTTGTATGAATTCTTCATAAATTTCATATGTGAGTCGCCCAAAAAGCTTCAGAATTCCAAGTTATCTCTCATTTCCTTCCTTCTAATTTTCATGCATAATTTCCAGACACCTCCAATTATCAACCTTTTCCTCTTAAATGTCATTTCCTGAAATTTTCTGTCTTTCACTTTGTCTTCTGGTACTTAGAATCCCAAAACTATTTATATTCTCAAAATCATAAATGCGCCTTCTTGTCACTACTGCACCCTAACCTAAATTCAAGTTTCTTCTGGGGATGTTGCTTACCCCCAAAACTTTTTATGTGGTACCTGTTTACTTTTTCTCACAACTCTCTGGCTATGTGGTAAGTTCTTGCCCCTCTTTTAGCTTCCAGGCCATTCTCTCTACTTCCTTCCCTCCAGAAAAAGCAGCTCCAAAATTAATGTCATCAGGTCCTAACCCTCAACTGGATCTAATGCTGTAGTCATACCTACCCTGAGTTCCACTGTTCATTTCCAATGGTTTTAGCTCCTCTCCCATATTTCCACACTGTCCCTGTCTTGAATCACGGTTATTTTTAATACACCTAGAGATGAAGTCTCAAGCTTCACAAGTCCAAAAATTAACTCTTACTTCTTTCCCAAAAACTTTTTCTACCCAGTCTTTCTCATCTCACTTGCTTTTTCCTCATGTAGCACATCCAATTGTTCAAGAAATCATGTTTGTCTGAAAAAAATGTCTGTAGACAGTCTTTCAAGTAACTGGCCTCTATTTTGTCCAGCTACCAACTTACATTCTTCAAACTTTCAACCAGAGGCTCCTACCTACATTCAGGGGCCTTCTAAGTGAATTCTGGATTACAGCTTCTACCAGTCTAGAAACACTCCCATTCTCTTTATATTCCACATAAGTAACCATAGTATATTAAGACCCTCTTCCGTTCTTCTTTTCCGCATTCTCCTCACTATTGGGGATTATATCATTTTTATATATTGACGCTAATTTCAATGTGATGAAGAATAAGGAGGAAGATATAGCAATAGATGCACATGGATGTTCATTCTAATCTCTTGAACCCCATCTCCATTATCCATAAGGCTCTTGTGTTATATCTATAAATTATAAAGTAATACTGTATGTTTAGTTTTTGTTTGTTCTATAGAGTAGATTTAGTTTTAAATGTGCATCTTGAATTTTATTAAGTTCAGTTTCATAAGAGAAGCTACTTTTTAAAATTTTCATTCTCTAAGATGGTTTATGGAAAATTAGTGCTTGTACACTAACTTAGGACGCTGTGAATGGCATAAACATTGGTCTAAGGAGGCCTCCTAAATCTGGTAAAGTGTTTCTTTGACAATATCTTCATTACAAGCAGCCTTTAAGGACTAGTGTCTTTCTAATATGACCCTTTCATTCTTTGGCTCAGACACTTGTTTTTAAGAAAAAGTAACCTGGTTTGAATTGCTGAAAATAAAATTCCAACAATCTTTACTACATGATTTTTAATAACCTGATTCAGTTTGTCAGTTTGCTGAACAAAACGAGCAAATATATGGCATGAATAATAAAGCAGGGAATGGGTTGAAAGCATGTGATGGCACATTGATGAGTAAACTATTTTCAAAGTCATGTCTGGAGTAAATAGGAGGAGTTAAAGAATAATTTATAAATAAAAGAAGACAACAAATTTATTGCTTCTTTTAGTTGGAAGCAATAAATTTGAATAAAATACTTAAATATTCACATAGCAGGATGAGAATTCCAGTCTCTAACCCCAATAGCAAAGCAGATACTCAATGGAATTAAGTAGATTTTCATAACAGGGAATTTTTAGAGTCATTTGGAAAAGACAATGAAGGAAATATATTCTTATTGTACATAAGTTAAAAGAGAAATTGCTGTTTTAACATAAATGTAAAGTTGGCTGTAGGCCTGGCTGGGTGGCTCAGTTGGTAGGAGCATCATCCCCTACACCAAAAGGTTGTGGGTTTGATTCCCAGTCAGGGGACACACCTAGGCTGTGGGTTTAATCCAAGGGAGGCAATTGATCAATGTTTCTCACTTTGATGTTTCTATCTATCGGTCTGTTTATCTATCCATCCATCTATCTATCTATCTATCTATCTATCTATCTATCTCTATCTCTCTCCCTTCTTATCTAAAGAAATTAATAGAAATAGATTCTTGGGCGAAGATTAACAAAATATTTTTAAATAATAAAGCTGGCTCTAATCTCCAGTTCTCAAGGTTGCTATAAATGTCCATCTAAGAAAAACCTCAAGTGCCGTTGATGGCTCAGAAATACCATCAGTGAATCAGTGAATTTTTTTCTTTTTACCTTAAGTAAAAAAACTTTTTTTAGGTCCTTAGACAAGAAAAGGTTACCTACAGTACCTCTATTGATTTTTACAAATATTAAGTTATAGTGTGTTCTCCAACTCCGGGAAACATGAATAATAGGATATTACATTTTAGTGTTCAATACATTATTATTCAAAATTTTGCAAGTTTGGTCCATTTCTTGGCCCTCATTCCCTGTAACCTTTTCCTCTGCAGGCACAGTTCCTGAAGTGGTATTTTCACCAGGTAGACGATACTTCCTCAAAATAATTAGGATAAAAATGGCTGGAATATAGCTTAATCCTCTTAGTGCTGCTGGCAATCCAAGGTAGAGGTGTCTGTCAAAAAAAAAAGTTGAAACATACTAAATTTTATATAGACAGTATGGTGAATACGAACTAGTTTTGTAGATCTTTAATTTTCAGTATTTTATTCCCATAAGAACAACAGCAGCTAATTGTTTTGCATGTTGATCATACATACGCAACTTTGCTTATTAATTTTTGTTAAAATGGTTTTCTTTAGAATTTTTCATCCAGAAAATCCAATTTTTTCTTTTTTTCTGATCTTTCAGTACTATTTTTATTTGTTTACATTGACTAGACACTCCAACTTAAATTTAATACTGACAGTGATTGGACCTCTGGTCCAGTGTTTAATAAAAATACTCCCAAAGAATCGCCATTATCACCAGATCATCAAAAATTTGTAAAACTTGCCTTAAAAGCATCTGGACTCAGTGCTTTTAGAGATGCACATTTTGATTGATTCAATTTTAATAGCTATAAAATATTCATGTTTTTATATATTTATAGTAACATTTTGGTAATATATATTTGTTTTAAAAATTCCCATTCAATATGTTTCCAACTTGTTATATTTAAAACCCATAAGTAATCGTACTTATATTCCCTTTTTCATTTTTAATCCTCACTGGAAGATATTTTTTTATTGATTTGAGAGAAAGAGAGCAAAAAAGGGTGGGGGGGACATTGATGTGAGAGAGAAACATCAATTAATTTCCTCTTGTACATGCCCTGACCTGGAATCAAACCCACAACCTAGATATGTGCCTTCACCAGGAATCGAACCTGCAACTCTGATGAATGAGATGATGCTTCAACTAACTGAGCCATGGCTAGGGCCCTTTTTCATTCATAATACTTTTTATTTGTGCTACCTCTGTCTTTCCAGATAACTGCCATTATTATATTTTAAACTTTTCAAAAACACAGCTTTTGTTTTTTGTTACATCTATGATATGTAGCCTATTGATTTCTGCTTTGTATTTTCATCTTTCTACTTCTAAAATTTTATTTTATTATGAAACATTTCAAGAATACAGGGAAAAAAATTAAACAAATCTTAACTCACTACCATGGTTTTTTTAAATGAATAAATTTTGCTACTTTTATTTCAGACCTATTTAGCAGAAAATACTAATACATTTAAGTCCTCTGTGTACCCTATAATCCTAATGCTTTCTAACCATCCCAGATATAACATTATGTTGAATTTTATTAATTTTGTTCCTCACTTATTTTTATAGTTTTAAAAGTATATATGTACACATTCATGGTTTATACAATTATTTTATGTGATTTTCACATCCTATATAATAAATAACTAATATGCAAACTGTTGTCACACCCTCACACCATAACAGCTCAGACACTCAACACTGGTGAGAGAGGAATGGGGACCAGCCAGGCACAAATGAGCTCATGGGAGAGGAATGGGGACCAACCAGGAACAAATGAGCTCATGAGAGAGAAATGGGGACCAGCCAGGCTTCAGCCTGGGAGAGGGACAAGCCTCCCACCCTGCAGTTCCAGGTATCAGCAGCTGCACCTGTGCCTGCGCCTGTGCCTGTGCCTGCGCCTGCGCCTGTGCCTGTGGCCCAGCCTGGGAGAGAGACAAGCCACATGCCCCGTGATCCCAGGAGTCAACAGTTGCTCCTGCACCTGTGGCCTGGGAGAGGGACAAGCCACCCACTCCATGGTCCTGGGCACCTGTGGCTGCAGCCCTGGCAAAGCCGCCTGCCCACGGTCCCCTGCGGTTGCTGCTGGTGCGGGCAAAGCAGGCCCGGGTCCTGGGTGCCTGCGGCCGGCCAGTAGGAAGGAAGCCTGGGTCCTGGGTGCCTGCAACTGGCCAGAGGAGGGAATCCTGGGTCCCGGGTGTGGGAAAAGGCAGAGGTGGTTAGGGGCGATCAGGCCAGCAGGGGAGCAGTTAGGGGTGATCAGGCCAGTAGGGGAGTAGTTAGGGGTGATCAGACAGGCAGGCAGAAGTAGTTAGGGGCCATCAGGCAGGCAGAGATGGTTAGGGGCGATCAGGCAGGCAGGCAGGCAGGCAGGCAAGTGGTTAGGAGCCAGCGGTCCCAGATTACGAGAGGCAGTCGGACAACCCCTGAGGGATCCCGGGTTGGAGAGGGTGCAGGCTGGGCTGAGGGGATTACCCTCACCATGCATGAATTTCGTGCACTGGGCCTCTACTTTGAAATAATTGGTTTAAATTTAAATTAAGTTCTCCTAATGGGACACTCTTATGCCAAATGGAACATGAAAGTACATGAAATAGAAAGAGAAAAAATGGAAGAGTTTTGTTCAAAAACTGATTAATATCACATATTTTGTTCAAAATCAGATTTTGATTAACAAAAAAAATAAGCCCTTAAGAGACATGAAGAATATTGTGTCAGTGAAATTTAGTGAGAGAGAAAATTATCACTTTGGAGATCAGAGGTAGTTGGTGAAAGGAAGTAAGGAATCAAGCTAGTAAGATGCTAAAATGATGGAGGATGAAATGGGACACTTTAGAGCAGTGATTTTCAACTGTGTGCCACAAGAATTTTTAAAACATTCAATACTTGACTAGTCAAGGGCACTGACCTTTTTTCCCTTAAATTTTCAAATAAAAAAATTACAACAGGCCGAAACCGGTTTGGCTCAGTGGATAGAGCGTCGGCCTGCGGACTGAAGGGTCCCGGGTTCGATCCCAGTCAAGGGCATATACCTGGGTTGTGGGCACATCCCCAGTGGGAGATGTGCAAGAGGCAGCTGATCGATGTTTCTCTCTCATCGATGTTTTTAGCTCTCTATCTCTCTCCCTTCCTCTCTGTAAAAAATCAATAAAATATATATATAAAAAAAATTTAAAAAAAATTACAACAGTCAATACAACAATAGCCGTCCAGTGTGAATGAATCAAAATTATCTTTTCTTTTGTCAAATTGGCAAATATATATATATATATATACACATATTTTTATATATATATAAAACCAAGTCATATATATATATATATATATATATATACACACACATATTTATATATATATAAAACCAAGTCATATATATATATATATATATATATATATATATATATATATGTATATATTTGGTGTGCCGCAGAATTTTAGTAATTAGTTTACATGTGCCAAGAGGTGAAAAGGGTTGAAAATGGCTGCTTTACAGAACAATATAATTTAGATAGGTAGCTTATATATAGCCATTACCTTCAATAATGTATTGACTGCAAACAATTAAACAAACAACATTTGAAAGGCTAGGTTAAGGAAATCATCCATGCTTATATTTATCAAGTACTTTGAAAATATTGAGAAAAATGAAATTCTAGCACATAAATAAAAAGTGAGGATATAGTATCAATATCTATTCTGGAAACAAAACAAAAAGTAGACTAGTCCAGTGGTCAGCAAACTCATTAGTCAACAGAGCCAAATATCAACAGTACAATGACTGAAATTTCTTTTGAGAGCCAAATTTTTTAAACTTAAACTATGTAGACAGGTACATTGTTATTAACTTAATTAGGGTACTCCTAAGGCTTAGGAAGAGCCACACTCAAGGGGCCAAAGAGCCGCATGTGGCTCACGAGCTGCAGTTTTCCAACCACGGGACTAGTCACTTGGCAAAGAAAATATTAGACACTAGAGGCCCGGTACACGAATTCATGCACCAGTGGGATCCCTCCACCTGGCCTGCGGTATTGGGCCAAAACTGGCTCTACAACATCCCCTGGGGGGTCCTGGATTGCGAGAGGGCTCAGGCCAGGCCAAGGGACCCCACCAGTGCAGGATCAGGGCAGGGAGGGACACGGAGGTTGGCCAGCCGGGGAAGGACCACAGGAGGGTCCCAGGGCATGTCCAGTCCATCTCGCTCAGTTCCAATTGGCCAGACCCAGCAGCAAGCTGACCTACTGGTCAGAGAATCTGGCCCCTGGTGGTCAGTGCACATCATAGTAACTGGTCAACTGGTCAACTGTCTGCCCCCTGGTGGTCAGTGCATGTCATAGTGAGTGGCTGAGTGGCCTTAGCATATCATTAGCATATTACACTTTGATTGGCTAAATGGCCAATCAGACAACCAGACACTTAGCATATTAGGCTTTTATTATATAGGACTAGAGGGCCAGTGCACAAAAATTTGTGCACTCGGGGGTGAGGGGGGCCCCTCAGCCCAGCCTGTGCCCTCTCGCAGCCTGGGACCCCTCGGGAGATAACGACCTGCTGGCTTAGGCCTGCTCCCGGGTGGCAGAGGGCAGGCCCAATCCCTAGGTGGAGCCCCTGGTCGGGCTCAGAGCAGGGCCGACTGGGGAGTTGGGGCACCGCCCCCTGTCATACACAGAGCAGGGTGATCGGGAGGTTGTGATGCCACCCTCAGTCACACTCAGGGTAGGGCCGATTGGGGGGTTGGGGCACCATCCCGTCACACTCAAGGCAGGGTCGATGGGGAGGTTGAGGCGCCACCCCCGTCATGCACAGAGCAGGGCCCATCAGGGGGATTGGGTTCTGTACCCTGTACGCACAGAGCAGGGCCAATCAGGGGGTTGGGGTGCCGCCACTTTCACACTCAGGGCAGGGCCGATGGGGAGGTTATGGCTCTACCCCGTCACACACAGAGCAAGGCCCATGGGGGGGGGGGGTTGGGGCGCCACACCCTGTCACACACAGAGCAGGGCCGATCAGGGGGTTGGGGTGCCGCCCCCGTCACACACAGAGCTGCAGAGTGATCAGGGGTTTTGGGCGCTGCCCCCTGTCACGCTGATCCCAGTGCCAGGAGGCCTCGCGGCTCCGCTGATCCCAGTGCTGGGAGGCATATTACCCTTTTACTATATAGGGTAGAGGTCTGGTGCATGGGTGGGTGCCGGCTGGTTTACCCTGAAGGGTGTCCTGGATCAGGGTGGGGGTCCCCACTGGGGTGCCTGGCCAGCCTGGGTGAGGGGATGATGGCTGTTTGCAGCTGGTCACACATCCTTCAGGGTGGGGGTCCCCACTGGGGTGCCTGGCCAGCCTGGGTGAGGAGCTGAGGGCTGTTTTCAGGCTGGGAGTGACTGAAGCTCCCAACCGCTCCTTTTTTTCTTTTTTCTTTTTTTATTCTGGGCCAGCTTTAGCTTTGAGGCTTGGCTCCAGCTCTTAGGCCTCCGCTGCTGAAAGTAGGTTTCTGGCCTTTGCTTACAATGTTGCGATCCTGCTGGCTGAAGCCCGGCAGGTTTCTGGGGTTTTGTTTAGCTTCTATGTTTGTTACATAGTTGCTTGCAGCTCAGAGGCCTGCAGCGGCAGGCGGGGAACATTGGAGTCCTCCATCACTGAAGCAAGCAAGCCTCATGTTAGTTTCAAGCTGCCTGGCTGCCAGCCACCATCTTGGCTGACAGTTAATTTGCATATTGCCCTGATTAGTCAATGGGAAGGGTAGCGGCCGTACACCAATTACCATGTTTCTCTTTTATTAGATAGGATGGTTGGTGCCATTTTATGCAGTCTATGCTAATAAAACAATTCTTTTAAAAAATTATTATCTTTACCTGAAGTTAGTGGATTCATATATCCTGCATGCTCCTGACTCACCACATTTAAAAGTTGCCCAATGTAAACATGTGGAGTCCATTAAAGCTCCAAAATATATAGGTGCAGGGATTCCAGCTACAATAAAAGAGAAAAAGAAAACTCTATCAAGAAGGTAAGAATTAAGATACATTATATTGTTTGGGAGAATTTTAATTACCTCTATTTGAAGAACCAACAAAATTAACAATATCTAAATTTAATACTTGACTTTTTTTTAGAGAGATTAGAAATTACTTTTACTTTTAAAGTTTCTAGATTATAAAGGATAAGTAATCTTGTGGACAAATGCTACACAAAACTATTGATAGGGAAAAACATTGAATTCATGAATATATTTTTTCTGCAATGTTTTGGGTCAATCAAATGTACATTTTATTTTAATATAACATTTCCTGTTCATTTGATTTTCAAATCCAATAGATGAAAAGTAGAATTAAGTTTAAATAGGACATTTTTTAAGTAAAAGAAGGAAGTTCTCTAGTTCTTTTTGCACTTGTTCTCATACTAATTACAGAGTGCTATCTAAAGCAGAAGGGATATTTGCTAGACTCTTACTCTGAGAGAGTGATTTAATTTACTTAGTATTTAATAATGATCTGATATAATATTGAAAAAAATGACTATTTTTACCAAATATTCTTGTGGAAAATGCATGTAATCCCACACCAAGAGACTTCTCTTCAGGCTTAATACACCTAAAGAGAAATGAATTCACAAATAAAATAATGAGATTTAAACTACCATATACAATGGTGGACTATTACTCAGCAATAAAAATGACTGAAATGTTGCCATTTGCAACAACATAGATGGACCTAGAGGGTATTATGTTAAGTGAAGTAAGTCAGACAGAGAAAGACAAGTACTATATGTTTTCACTTATATGTGGAATCTAAAAAATAATACAAATGAATAAACAAATCAAAGACGCAGACCCATAGATGCAGAGAACAATGTGATGGTTGCCAAAAGGGAGGGGTTGGGGATTGTGTGAAATGTTTTAAAAATAAAGCAACTTTTGGCCTGCTCAGTGTTACTCAGTGGTTGAGCATTGACCTATGAACCAGGAGGTCACAATTCAATTCCCAGTCAGGGCACATGCCCCCATTGTGAGCTGAATCCCCAGTGGGGGGCATGTGCAGAAGGCAGCCAATCAATGATACTCTCTCATCATTGATGTTTCTATCTCTCTCTCCATCTCCCGTCCTCTCTGAAATCAATACAAATATTTAAAAAGAAATCAAACAAAGCAATTTTTAGAAAATAAATAAAATAAAATGACTAGTTTCTTTTTTCTTAACTTTTATTTATTGATGAGAGAGAGAGAGAGAGAGAGAGAGAGAGAGAGAGAGAGAGAGAAACATTGATTTGTTGCTCTGCTTATTTATGCATTCAACTGTCGACTCTTGTATGTGCCTTGATTGGAGATCTAACCCACAACTTTGTCTTATAGAGATGATGCTCTAACCAAGTAAGCTACTAGTACCTGGCCAGGGCCTACTATCATAATTTCTTAAAAGGACCGTTTGTGTGCTAGTAACACCCTGAGCATTAGAATTTCCTTGCATGCTCTAGTCTTGGTTATTCAAGGCCTGATTATCCAGTTTGTAGCCTATACAGTAGCCTCACTTCTGGTTCTTGGCATTTTACCCAAAACTTTTTCCTCATTCATTTCCATCAGGAAGTTATCAAAGGAGAAAATATTTCATATCAGCTCATTTCTATCCTTTCATTGAAGTAATAGTTCTTGATTCTAATGGTTCAACCTTTAGTCTAAAACAAGAACAATGCAAGCCTAGCTGTTTTTAAATTATTTGTATTAGCAAAATACCGAAAAGTCAATTATTTACACAAGTAAATGCAAGGAGGAAAGAAAAAATACAAATTTTCAAAGGAAAGTGATGAAAACTCCAAAGCAAACATGCTAAGTGATTTGGTATAATTTCAAGAGTCACACTGATTTCTTTTTCTCTCGAGAAATTCTCCCACCTTTTCACTGTTGCCTGAAATGCCTGTAAGTAGAAATGAAGACTATAATTCCCCAGTGCCACTGTTTGCGCCTCACTCGTTTCAGCATCGGCAGTGCTACCTGCTCAAAGAATTCACAGGGAGAACGCCTCTGTATTCCATTTGCTTCCCTGATTACAGCAAGGCTCAGAAAATAAAAGCAGCTTTCTTCACAAAAGGATGCAGTACATTTTTAGCAAACGCATCATCTTATTGGTGTTTCCTTGTAACCTTATGATATAGATGTGTCTCTTCTTGTGTTAAATAGTGAGAATTTCACTAAATTAACTCTTAGAAATAAGGAAGAAAAGAAACAAAGGGAAAAGTCAACAGAAGAACATGTGTAGGGCTACCTTTAAAATTTCACAAAATTCAATAATGCTTTAATGCAAAACTCTGAATGAATGACATATTAAAGCATTGAACTCTTAGGTTAGTGATGGCGAACCTATGACACGCGTGTCAGAGGTGACACGCGAACTCATTTTTTTTTGGTTGATTTTTCTCTGTTAAATGGCATTTAGATATGTAAAATAAATATCAAAAATATAAGTCTTTGTTTTACTATGGTTGCAAAGATCAAAAAATTTCTATATGTGACATGGCACCAGAGTTAAGTTAGGGTTTTTCAAAATGCTGACATGTCTAGCTCAAAAGGTTCGCCATCACTGTCTTAGGCCCTGAGCTCCAACTGGCTTTCTGAGAAAGTTACCTTAATAAGTACCAGAAAGGAATCTAAATAAAGAAAGTAATTTGTGTACCTCAGGAGAACCATGTATCCAGGGATGGCAGATAAAGAGTAAATGAAAGAGCTGACTGACGACAGGATTAAGAAGTACTGGAGCATCATGGAGCAGTCATGTCCTTTGTCGCACAGCCCAAGAACTGCCGATGAGTTTCCTAAGGTCTGAATGCAGCTACAGTTATGGAACACCTGTCAAAAAATCATGCATTATCCTCTTTCAGGAAGAAAAATCTTAAACACAGATCTCAAATATTCTCTGCATCCCCCATTGGATCAAAATGTAGGCTGTTTATTCCCTTTATTCTCATCTCCTTTATAGTGTCTCTCAGGATCATAACAAAAAGTGAAACATAGAAGGGCAGTTTCAGAAACATGGCATTTCTCTCTAAATATATGGAGTACATTCGCAATAACTCACCTACCCTAAAGTCATGCTTTTGAAAAAGACATACTGTTTTGCCACAATACTAAGTATCAGAAACAAAATTTTTTCCAGAATGCTCAGTTGGAATATTTAAATAATTAAGATATGTAAAGCTTTGTTTTAAAAAGTATAGTTTATTTCAAAAACAAAGTTAATTCTTTTTGGAATTCTTATATGTTTCCAGGTTTTAATAAGACTCAAAATTTATATTTACTGTTATCACCAGCCAACATTGTTAGGCAAGAAAACATGCCTAAATCCATCTTACAAAGCTCTCAGAATGTGGAACACACAGACAACATATGCATACATATGCACAGAAAAAAAAAACTCCAGCAAAACAATTTGCTGGATACTTGAGATCAAGCTGTCAATTTTATCTCGATGATAAAAATATTTCAGCCCAGAGTATTTTTAAAACAAATTAGCTGAGTAATAATGTCAACTGCTATAAAATTAAAGATCAGTGCTCAGACACTCTAAAGGTCTAAAATAAGACCTAGGAAATAAAAAGTAAATTAAATGAGCATATGGAAAAACAATGTTTATTTTTTTCTACAAAATAATTTGGTTTTGAAGAAAGACTATAATTATATTTTTATCAAATGTGGGCCCAGTTCACAGTTGGAAAGTGCCAATGCAGTTCATAAATCAAAATTTCTATTAAAAAAAATAAAGGTAATAGATTATTTTACCATGTTCAGTCCTGTTCCAACAAATGTCTCACAACCAGCAAGACAAGCTGACATATATGACAAACCATTGCTTCCACACACAGGGTCCCATGTTTTAGTTGGACAGTTGCAATCCATGTTGCAATCATCAAGGATGGCATTTCCAATGTGTAAATCTTGCTGCATTCTGAAATGATTTAAAATAATACCATGAATATTGAAAGACTATTAGACCATTTCCTCTTTCTTTTTTTTTTCATCTCAGTCCACAGTTAAATTTTTTCTTCCCCAAAATAGAAACAGAAAACTTCCAACCATCAGTGTGTGGCCTGGTGATTATAGATAGGGCATAAAAGTTAGCTGCTTCAGTGACCACATAGCCACTTTTTCAATGATTTATTTTACATAAACAAACAGTCAGTGAACAAGAATTAGTTGAGGGCCTACCATATGGGAGGTATTCTTCCAAGTATTATTAGAACTCGAAAATAAAGTTGCCCTAATCTCTATGGCTGATCCACATCATGGAAAGTAACAAGAGAGATCAGATTCATTAATGCAATCTCAAAAGCTCACTTTAGGTCAAAATCTGGCCCTTCTCAGTGTGGCTCAGTTAGTTGAATGCTATCTCATGCACCAAAATGTCACTGGCCCAGGTTACGGGATCGGGTGCATATGGGAGGCCACCAATAAATGTTTCTCTCTCTCCCTCTCCCTTCCTCTCTCTCTAAAATCATTAAAAACATATTTTAACAAAATCTGTAAGTTCAACATATAATATAGATAATACATTTAGCTCCAGAAACATAACTACAAAATATGTGTAAACAAATATATTCTTCTAGTATAAAAGTGTATCAGGAACAACCAGTGCTGCCATCTTGATGACCACCCATCCAGGAAGCCCGGTCAGGGAACCTGGGCCCATCCTACAACCTCACTAAGGCAGGAAGTCAAGCTAGTAGCCCAGCTCTACTGTTAAGTATAGCTTCTGACTCCGCATAACCAATAATCCTGAGCATCCTCAGAGCCTAGCATAACATACTGCCGGACCGTGAAGCCACGCCTACAGCACTGAGCAGCAGCAGAGCCCAGCCTACAGCCCTACCCAATGGCTTATCACAATTGGCAGCCTTACTCAGTCATGGAATCTAGCCAATGACCCCGCTTAATCGTGCAGTATATTCTACAGCCTCACTCAGTGAAAGAAAGTGGACTGTGACTCTGCTCGATCAGGGAGCACTGTTTCTAGCATACCCAACCTTCCTATAGACCCAGAGAACCCTCAAAATACAAATCTAAAACTACTGAACACAATGATACATACTATACAAATGAAATACATGAATTTATATGAGTTATTGTAGCATGTATCAGGATTGGGATATGCTAAATTTAAGCTTATTGTGGAAACATAAAAACGATTGAGACTGTATGCTCAACTCTTAATTTTACCCATTTGTGAGAGTATAAAATATTTAGATAACATATCCCAATGCAACCTAAAACTATAGGTAGTTTCTTTTGATATCACTTTAATATCTAGTAGGATACTACAAAGACACCCACATAGACACACGTGCAATCATAAACTCACCAACCCTGTGATATGTTCCTAACCTCTTTATTAAACCTGGAGCCTGAATACATTTGGTTGTAATTGACAGATGAAGGAAAGATGAAAGACCATAGATTGCTTCTATTAGCAAATGGTCTGGTCCTGGATAATCATTGAAGAAAATATGTTATTAACTATTCAAGTGTATAACATTCTTTAGTTAAAAAAAAAAAAAAAAACAACCATACCCTTTATAATCGGTGGTTATGCCAGCAACTGAAGAATTATCACAGACCATAAAAAAACACGAAAAGTAGAGAAGAAAGTCAATGAAAGATAAACAACATGCTATGTGGGCAGCTTGTTTGACAGTAATTTTGAACTTTTTCATCATTAATCCGCCGAAAATATATCCAATGCATATTGGAGGTAAGTTGTAAATACCTATAAATGCAAGAAAATGTTATTTACAATGTTACTTAGTGGAGAAACAAATATGGTATAACTTTTATCTAACTATAGACTACAGAAAAGATATCTAACATTCTTACATAAGAAACCATTTAGGTCCATTTCACAGTAAATATGGCTGATTGAATTTTATCCCTACTTGTTACATGTTATCTACAGAGAGATTTTTTTTTAATATATTTTATTGATTTTTTTTACAGAGAGGAAGGGAGAGAGATAGAGAGCTAGAAACATCGATGAAAGAGAAACATCGATCAGCTGCCTCCTGCACACCCCCAACTGGGGATGTGCCCCGCAACCCAGGTACATGCCCTTGACCGGAACCGAACCCGGGACCCTTCAGTCCGCAGGCCGACGCTCTATCCACTGAGCCAAACCGGTTTCGGCTACAGATAGATTTTTAAATGCCCTTCAATGTCAAAGTATGTTTTTGAAGACCTATTATTATTCATTTAATTCATAACAGGAGGATATAAATGTTTTGTAGGACTCAGGTAGGAGCAACAAGTCAAAGTTGACCAACCAGTAATTTATTGATTTCCACTTTGGGGATGTCATTTTATATATATAATTTATATGATTTTGCTGTTGTCTATTCCCATTTTGGTTATGAATTTGGCACAGTTTAAGGTACTTTCAAAGATTACTGCCTGTAATTGTCAAGTGTATTTACAATGCATGTCTTGCTGCTACTCCTCCCTCCACACAAAGAAAAAAGAAGGAAGCCTTAGGTTGCATTCTTACATGCCAGGATCTGCCCATTGAATTACACCCTTGAAAGAGGTTGTTAAAAATCCATTCCAGAGCCCCACACCAGAGATTCAGTATGTCTGATTCAGTATGTCTAAGGTGGGCACCAGGTATCTGAACTTTTAACTAACACTTTAGGTGATGTGGATGCAGATAATTTAGGAAATTCACTTTCACAGCTGTAAAGAGATCCTTAGAGAAACCTAACCGGGGAGAGGGGGGGTGGTGTAGTCATGTGGTCACAAGAAAGTCAGAATATATAGGCTGCAGAGACACCTGAAACCACCAGGGGGACCAGAGGAACCTGGAGAACCATGGAATTCATGACTGGGAGCCAAGAGTAAAATCTGATAGTAAAACATTGACTCCTAATGAATTCACTCTCTTCCTTTTTTTAATTTTTTCATTAATGGATTGCCTATCTGAAAATCATAACTAATTTGTGCATTCCTCGAGATTTTCAGAAATATTTTGAATTTGTGCCGGAGAGACACCCTTTGTTGATTTCATTGGAGAGAAGGGAGAAATGTATCAGAGACAGAAATATCCTAACAGTTTTTAATTTAGGAGTTTCCTAGACCCATCATCACTGTTTGCCATTTCAGGGGGGAGGAGGGGAGTGGGCTAACAATGCTGAGAAGGACAAACATACCAATTAGAAAGATTGCTTCTGAAGTTGACTTTCCATATTGCTGTTCCACATATTTAGGCATGAAGAACATCATATTAATAAATGCATTGAACTGTACCACACTGATTAGCATAAAAAGCATGTAAACTGGGTTGCAAAAAAGACTCTTCATGAATGGTAAAAAATCTGAAAGGGAAGAAAGACAACAGGGTCAAACTAACTAGGTTCTGCATTTTCTGATGGACTTTTTCTGAAACGTCAACTTCCCCTCCAAATTGCTTTCCTGTTTTATAATGCGCACATTGTTAACTCTTTTTACCTCTTAGAAGCTGAAGTCATGCTACTGTCTTTGGAGGCTTCTGCAAGCAGTGACACAGCTGACTAGATAGGAACCAAAACACAATAGTTTTGCCTTGGCTACGTTACTATTGTGTCTTAAGGAAAAACTACAATGTGACCAAAATATTGTCTGTGTTCACACCACTTCCTTTTATCCTTCTCTTTTTCCTTCTAATTAATATCCTCTCTTCTCATCTGGAATGAAAGATATTTGTTCTGTTCTCTAACGTCTGGAAGAAAATCAACTTGATAAAGAAGTTCGCACTCTGTCATTGATATTATCATTCCTGAACATTTAAAATAAATATGTATGTATTTGGGAGTTCATGGAATATAAATTTTCTGCGTTTTCAGAGCATCATTTTTGGTGGTTCAGCCAATGGTTTACAACAAAATGTGCTTAAAAACCACGTGGGTATCTTTTAAAACCCACTCCCTGAGATCTGATTCATTAGGTACATACTAAGTACCATGTATATAATTTAACCAAAACTTTTCCCTGTTCGTGTTCACTGCCAAAACTCAGAGCCAAATTTTGCCCATCTCTAGCAAATGCTCTGGGTCACACTGCTGCCACTTGAGATCACAGTCTCACGGTTTCATTTCACTTTCCGTCTTCAAGTTCTCTGTCTTGATTACCTTCCTTATTCTGTATTATCCTGGTTTGCTTAATAAGCTGCCTAAAATCCATTCTGGAACAAAGTATCAATAAAAAAACAAATTGAAAGAAGAGGAAGCATAGATCCATGAAAAGAGATGAATTCTAGTGGTAGAATTCATATTTAGGAATAAAACACATAGCAGGGCTGAGAGTTGTGTTCAGAGCTCTTTGGAGTTTTTTAAGTCACCCATTTTGTTGACATCCCTGTCCTCATTAATGAGTCTCAGTAGTTCAAATTATTTCCTATATTTCTTATATTAAGCTCAGCTCTTTCCTGGTTTTGAAAAATAATTCTACAGACCACAAACAATATTCTATGCGAATATCCTCTCTCAGTCCATACCATCTCTTTGCAAAAAGTTGTAATATAATCATGATGCCTGGGAATTTGCAAGATTCTGAATTGGCTCTTAATGATCTGGGATTACGCTCAATTGTGGTTTAAGTGCATTGTAATTGTTACAATGCTTACAAATTGTTACAATTGTTAACATTGTAATTGTTAATAAAAATTCTGTGCAAATTGGCATTATAAATTGTGGGTGATTTTAGAAGTAGCAACCTCAACAAATAATACTAGTTGCAGTAATAATAATAATAATAATAATAATAATAATAATAAGTGCCTGAACTCCTTTTACCTTCACACAACAACTCTATAATTATAACTACAATTATCATCTCCACTTTATAGATAAGAAAACTTAGCCCTTCTCTGCCTTCTAAATAAATACTCTCTAAAAATTCCAAGACCCAGGCCATACTAATTAAATGTTCATACTAATTAAATCAGACCTCTTGGGGATAATACAGAATTTCCAGGCATCAATGTTAAAAATTTCCCAGGTAATTCTAATATGTGGCCAAGTTTTAAAATCTAAATACTTAGACTCTTTTAACTTAGTTCCCCATAGAAACACCTTCTGTAAATTATACTTTAAACTTTTATTGATAATCTATACCAAAAGGAGGAGAAGGAGAAGGAGAAGGAGGAGGAGGAGGAGGAAGAAGAAGAAGGAGGAGGAGGAGGAGGAGGTGGAGAAGGAGGAGGGGAGGGGGAGGGGAGAGGGAGAGGGAGAGGGAGAGGGAGAGGGAGAGGGAGAGGGAGAGGGAGAGGGAGAGGGAGAGGGAGAGGGAGAGGAGAGGGAGAGGGAGAGGGAGAGGGAGAGGGAGAGGGAAAAGAGCAGTTACCTACATTTGCTGGGAAACAACTATGGGTTCAATACTACCTAAATCATAACATATGACAATTATTTTCTTTTTTTTACAATTTGTTACTTGGGGAAGATTTTCTCCTTAAGAACTACTATTCTTTGTCTATATCTATCAAATATAGACAATTAGATATCTTGCTTTCTTTTTTCTTTTTCTGCCTTAATTTCCAGGAAGCTCACAGCTAAGCTAACATCTTTGGGTTCAGGACTGTAAACTTATTCAGATTAGTGTATATTTTTCCTTCTTTTGCTCTTAGATTTAATTTCTTTTTTTAATGTATATATTTCTTTTATTTCAGAGAGGAAGGGAGAGGGAGAAAGAGATAGAAACATCAATGATGAGATAGAATCATCGATCGGCTGCTTCCTGCATGCTCCCCACTAGAGTTTAAACCAGCAACCCAGATATGTGCCCTGACCAGGAATCAACCACAGGTCCACACTCAATCACTGAGCCACACCATCCAGGCTTAATTTCTTTTTAAAAAATTTGAACTTCAAGGCAAATGGGACTAAATAAATAAATAAATAAATAAATAAATAAATAAATAGTTTATTGAGTACCCAGATTGATAAAGAATTTTATATAAATACTAATCTGAGATAATTCAGCTTCCACATTACATTACTTATTTCCAAGTAGTAGCACAGGAAGTATCAGACTAGTTAGACTGCTGACTGCTAATGGCAAATTGTCCTAATGCAGCCTAGCATGTTATAGTGCTAGACTCAAATAGAGACACACCTATATAAAACAAAAAGTAAATTATATAACATTTAAAATTTTTATATTTGCCTTTAGTAATTCCATCATTTTCCTTCTTCACTTCTTTTTGTTTCTCTTCTTTGTCATTTTTGACGATGTCAGCATTATCCTTTGATCCTTCCTTTGCAAGCGTTTTGGGCAAAAAGAAAAAAGGAATGGCAGTGAGCACATTCACTCCTGCACAAATCAAAATGCCAAACCACCATGCACCAACCCAACGAGTATCAATTGGAGTGATAGTCAGCTCATCTGTAAAAAAAAATACACATTTTTTATTAGTTTTAGTCATTTCTCATGTGAACTACGGGGAAAAAATTACATTACTGTTCTCAGGTCCTATCCAAGTATAGGGTTTGTATACAATTCAGATAGTCATAAAAGTCTGACAATGCATTGTGTTACAATAATGTCTAGCAATAAATTTGGAGGTATGCTCTATTATGTAAAGAATTTATAAATATATACTTATTAAATAACTACAAGGTCTATTTAATCATCCACAAATGTTTGCTTTATTAAAAGAAATTCAAATCTATATGCTGAAATCTTTTAAAAACAAGAAATATGGTCATGGTGCAGTAGAAAGAGCAGTGGATTTTGAGTCAGAAGATCAGAATTTTATCTTGCTCTCCTGCACACTGGTATGAATTATTTAAAAACTTATTTAAACTCCTCCACGTTAGTTTAAACTCCTGGACAATAGTGAATCTATCTAATTGAATGTCAAGTAAAGCAACAATAAATGTGGTAACATACCTGAAGTGGCTTTGTATACTCTAGACACTATGACTAGATTTTAATGAATTACCTGTGTTTACAGATCCGATGTCAACATAAATATTTGCACAGAATGATGCTAACAAAAGTCCAAACAAAGGACCAATGATAGCTCCTGTTTCTACAAACCCTAAAAATAAAAAAATATATAAAGTTATAGTATAGTTATATACCCACATAAGGAGTCCTAATTCCATGAAGAGTCTTAAAACTGAATTGTTTTTGCTTTAGGTATTTTTGCTTTAGATAGTCAATTTGCAAGTAACTTAAGCTGGTGTCCATATAAGTAACAAGATTGCTTCTTTAACGCTGAAGAAGAAGCCTTATAATTTAAAGCTACTTTCTCTGAGCCTCCAGATTCACTTTTGCGGGGTCACAGGTAAAGACTTGCTAGAGCAGCATAGGGTAGGATCATGCTATCATTGAAGCCACAAGACAGAGTAAGATTATTTTGAGGCTTTCCATAGCCACATTTTTAAAGGAATTCTAATGCAATGCCATGTGATGTAAAGTTTCTTGTGGCATCCTATATAATAAAGAGGTAATATGCAAATTGACCATCACTCCAACACACAAAATGGCCACCCCCCATGTGGTCAAAGATGGCCACCACAAGATGGCCAGCAGGGGACAGCAGTTGGGGGTGATGAGGCCTGCAGGGTAGGGCAGTAGGGGGCAACCAGGCTGGCAGGGGAGGGCAGTTGGGGGGGAACAAGCCTGAAAGAGAGGGCAGTAGGGGCAACCAGGCCAGCAGGGTAAGGCAGTTAGGGGCAATCAGGCCAGCAGGGGAGGGCAGTTAGGGGCAACCAGGCTGGCAGAGGAGGGAAGTTAGGGGTGAACAGGCCTGCAGGGGAGGGCAGTTGGAGATGACCAGGCTGGCAGGGGAGGGCAGTTAGGGGCAATCAGGCTGGCAGGGAAATGGTTAAGGGGTGATCAGGCTGACAGGCAGAAATGGTTAGGGGCAATCAGGCAGGCAAGCAGGCAATCGGTTGGGGGCTAGCAGTCCTGGATTGTGAGAGGGATGTCCGACTGCCCTTTTTGGCCCGATCCCAGGACAGCAGTCCTGGATTGTGAGAGGGATGTCCGACTGACCTTTTAGGCCTGATCGGGCCTAAAAGGGCAATTGGACATCCCCCGAGGGGTCCCAGATTGGAGAGAGTGAAGGCTGGGCTGAGGGACACACAGCTTCCCCCCGCCCTCCATTGCACAAATTTTGTGCACTGGGCCTCTAGTATTCCTCATAAAAGCTTTGCTCCCAGATCTCCCACTTGAAACTTTCTCTGGCTTTGTCCTCACTATTATTGATACTTCACTTTTATTATGATCTCCTTTCTTACCCTTCACATTCTTATCATCTATTTCCAACAGTCCTCATTAACTTCTCACTCATCTGAAATTTCATCACCAGTTTCTCATAACTTGTCCACAATTAAGAATCTATGCTGCACCCTCCGTGCTCATTGAAAATCCAGACAAGAGCTGCTTCTACTATCTTTCTCTTTACTTCAAAATGTGCTTGTCCATTGTCTCTGCCTTCTCTGAGGTTCTATAGGCTAGTTCACCCTATGTACACCCAATGTCTTGACATCAACACCTTCTATCTTCTCTGAGGTTTTGCTCAACCAAATACTTCTCTTGTACTTCTTCACTCTCCCCCATCCACTGATATCTACAATACCTCAACTGCACCCAGCTCTCTCTCCTTCCACTACACTCTGCCTCTCCTTCCTTACCAAGCAATCACTCTACTCAAATCCTTCCACATTCTACTCAAAACAATCTCAGGTGGTAGCATCAGTAATCTCTTTACCACTTATCCAGTGTCCTTTACTAGCCCTCCTCTTCCTAAGTCTCCATTTACTATTTGACATTGCCGGCCAACTTCTCTTTGAGTTTCCTCCTAAGGCTTTCTCAAAACTATGCATTTATTGTTTTACTTTTCCCTCTATGACTGCTTCTTCCTTGATTTTTCTTCCTCTGACAATTCTATTAAGTGTTCCCTAGTATTTTATTCTAGGACCTCTGGTCATATATAGCTTCCCATAGCAACTACACTTTGCCCTCTTGGTTTCATTTATTGTCTGAGTATAGAAAATTCTCAAACCGTGTTGCTAGCTTATGTTCTCTCCTAAACTCCAGAACCCTATATGGCACTGTTTTCTTGATGTATAGCTAATAGAGTTATAGTTATTTAATTATATGCACACCATATTTATTTATTGTTTTTTCAATTTAATTTTTTAAAAATTTAATTACACAGATATACTTATCAAATGTAATTGATCTATAATTATGCAAGTTATTTGTCCACTAAATCTTATATGGACCACGTTATATTTACTTTAATACGTTAAAGATTATCACAATTATTTCTACACATTATACACCCTAGTATTTGTAGAATAAAGAAATACATATTATAACAAGGTGTTTGTTAATTTATTGCAGGTAACCATTTGTATTCTTTCTTCTTTTTTATTTCCTTTTTTTTAAGTGATTGGGTTGGAAAACAGGTGTGGAATTACTGAGAGAGAGAGAGAGGCATTTCAGAGGTCAAGGAGTTTTTGTTATTAATCCTCACCTGAGAATATTTTTCCCCCTTGATTTTTTAGGAAGAGTGGAAGGGAAGGGGAGAGACAGAGAGAGAGAGAAATGTCGATGTAAGAGAGACACGTTGATTGGTTGTAGGAGTCTGCAACTGAGGTACATGCCCTGATCGCAATCAAACTCAAAACCCTTCAGTCTGCATGCAGACGCTCTAACCACTGAGAAAACTGGCTAAGGCTATTTGTATTCTTTCAAGGAGATATATGAAAGGATATGAAAAGATTGAACAGAAAAACACTGGAAAAGGTTATTGTGAAATCAGTGAGTCATCAAAGGCTTCCCAAAGTTGTTTGGGGTAATGATTCCTAAATGTTTTAATTTATTTTGATTAAATGTAGTTCTGTTTCATCTTCTCTCACCCTCTTTGACTTTCCTGGTTTTTAAAAAGTCAAATACATTAATAGAAAAATGTCACTGTACTCAAAGTTATGATTTTTATAAATAACAGATGAAATAACTAAAGAATATAAGCAAGTTATGCGTAATAAATTTAAAATATTTAGGGGATCAGAAGACAACACAAGATGGTGAATCTTAAGTTGGCCATAGTGGAAGGTGACATTGAGTGATTTTAGAAAAGAAAATTTCAATAAACAACCAAATGTACAAAGACAGGTAAATTATGAAAAAGCATAACTAGTGTGGAGAGATTGTGATGAAGTGAAACTATATAGGAAACTAAATAAGTAGAGTACAGAGCTATAAATAATAAGTGAAGATATCAGATTTAGCTAATAAAGAGCTAGTATGTTTCATAAACATGGTAGAGAAAATATGATTAAAGCAATGTTCGAAAAAAATTACACTGCAAGAATGCTTATGAAAAAAATAATAAAAGAAAATACTAGAAATAAAATGACCAATAAAGAAGTTACAATAAAAGAAAACAACAAGAAGACCCACTGCATGGGAGAACATATTTTCCAATGATATCACCGATAAGGGTTAGGGTTTAATATTCAACATTTACAGGGAACTCATGAAACTTAACAATAGAAAGATAAACAATCCAATCAAAAAATGGGCAAAGGACCCAGATAGACACTTTTCAAAAGAGGACATACAGAGGGCCGAAAGACATATGAAAAAATTCTCAAAGTCACTAATTATACGAGAGATGCAAATCAAAATGACAATGCCATATCATCTCACACATGTCAGAATGGCTATCATCAACAAATCATCAAACAACAAGTGTTGGAGAGGATGTGGAGAAAAAGGAACCCTTCTGCACTGCGGGTAGGAATGCAGACTGGTGCAGCCACTGTGGAGAACAGTATGGAGTTTCCTCAAAAAACTAAAAACGGAACTCCCATTTGACCCAATGATCCCACTTCTAGGAATATATCCCAAGAAGCCAGAAACACCAATCAGAAAGGATATATGCACCCCTATGTTCATAGCAGCACAATTCACCATAGCTAAGATTTGGAAACAGCCTAAGTGCCCATCAACAGATGAGTGGATTAAAAAACAGTGGTACATCTACACAATGGAATACTACGCTGCTGTAAAAAAAAGGAACTCTTGCCTTTGCAACAGCTTGGATGGAACTGGAGAGCATTATGCTAAGCGAAATAAGCCAGTCAGAGAAAGATAAATACCTCATGATTTCACTCATTTGTGGATTATAGAGAACAACATAGACTGATGAACAGGGACAGATCCAAAGACAGAGAAACAGTGATCAGACTATCAATCATCAGAGGGAAAGTAGGGGAGGGAGGGGGCAAGGGGAAGAGATCAACCAAAGGACTTGTATGCATGCATATAAGCCAAACCAATGGACATGGACAACAGAGGGATGAGAGAATGAAGGGGGGGGGGATGGGGGTTTAATGGGAGGGGTGAGGACACATTTGTAATACCTTAACTAATAAAGAATTTTTTTTAAAAAAAGAAGAAGTTACAATAATCTACAAATGAAGGAATGAAGACCTGAGCAAAACTAGACATAATGGCCTGGCTAATGTTGCTCAGTGGTTGAGTGTCAACCTATGAACCAGTAGGTCATGGTTCAATTCCAGTCAGGGCACATGCCCAGGCTTTGAGCTCAATCCACAGTTGGGGTCGGGGGGTGCAGGAGGCAGCTGATCAATGATTTTCTTTCACCATTGATGTTTCTCTCCCTCTTCCTTCCTCTCTGAAATCAATAAGAAACAGATTTTTTTAAAATAGACATAATAAAAACAGTGAGAAAAGTTTTTAATATGAGGGACATTTTTTAGAAACCATTGGTGAATCTCTTCACAGATTAGATATAGAGTGGAGCCAAGAAAATGAAGGAGTCAAAGAGAACTCCAGGGACACTAGATTAGCAGTATTTTCAACAGCAAAGAGCAGATTTAGCAAAGTGGTTTATTTGGAGTTAGCATGTAATTGTTCCATTGAACAAACTCTTACTGATGACTACCTGTGCTGCAGTACTTTTTTCATTATTCTGGAAATCAGTAAGAGTCCAAATAAATAATATCCACCCTCAAAGAATTTAACTATCCTGAAAAGAAGCTAAGGCATATTTTCAAACTCACCAATATATAGAGGAGAGTTTTCAGATTTTGCAAAATCTTCTATGTAGGAAATACCCAAAGGCATGATGGGAGTTTCACCAATTCCACGTATCATATTTCCTACTAGTACATATACCCACATTAATGATTTAACTTCCTTCACACACTCTGTTTTAAAAAGAAAAAACATATTGCATTAGTGTTTTGATAGTAAAATATCTATATATATAAAAGCCTAAGAGACCTTTAGACCAACTGGTCGACCAGTCCCTATGACGCACACTGACCACCAAGGGGCAGATGCTCAGGAGCTGCCCCCTGGTGGTCAGTGTGCTCCCACAGCCAACCTCCTGCAGTCCCTCCCCCGGCCAGCCCCAATCAGCCCCAATCAAGACTGAATGAGATGGCCCCAATAGGCTACGAACACCAGCCAAGCTGAGGGACCTCACCCGTGCACAAATCCATGCACCAGGCCTCTAGTTAAGCTATAAGTATAGAAGTAATTCTAAGATTCTGGTAAGCATTTCACAGTTTTTATGCAACATGGCACCTTGTAAATGATTTATATTACTATGCTAGCAATAACTCACTGGGCCATCCCTCTTGCATTTTCTGAGAGTACTTAGGTATGGCAATGTGTAAGCTGTATGCTGGAGCCATTTCCTACTGGGTTGGATGAGATCTCTTGATGAGTATTATATGCACCTCTTCCCAATCCAATGCTTAATGACAACACATTGATAGTTTATAGGAGCATTTACACCACAGAAATTGGCAAATACTAGAAGTCAGAATCATTTTTCCCTCAGCTTGCCTACAACTACACCATCTAGTTAGCTGTTATGACTGCTACTCCATTTCTATAATAACTCTAGGGAGAGAAAAAAAAAAAAAAGCCCAGCAGCTGTGGCTCAGTAGTTGAGCCTCAACCCATGAATCAGGAGGTCATGGTTCGATTTCTGGTCAGGGCACATGCCCAGGTTATAGGCTCAATTACCAGTGTGGGGCATTTAGGCGGCAGCCAATCAATGATTAACTCTCATCATTGACGTTTCTATCTCTCTCTCCCTCTCCCTTCCTCTCTGAAATCAATAAAAATATTTTGTTTAATAAAACAACAAACACAAATATATCCCCCTAGAATTGATACTATACTTACAAGATCTAAATAAGAGTCTCACTGAAGTTTGAATTCTCTACAGCTGTAATTACTTTATAGACACTAAAAATACTTAACTAGATAGTAATCACATTTTCTCTATATAATCTACTGTGTACTGTAACCACCAAATAAAGTTTAACAAAGAAATTTACCTGAATTCTTGGAGCAGCAGCTACTTAGCAGAATAACAAAGACTAGGCCAAAGGGAACTGAAAGGGAGGAAGGCAAGCCTCTGAAGACTTAGCCATTTCATCTCTAAACCAAAATAGCTGTCAAAGAGAATACTCTATAGCAGTGGTTCTCAACCTTGGCTGCACATTAGAATCACCTGGGAATCTTTTTTAAAATCCTGATTTCTGGGCCTCATCCTCCGGAAATTCTGTTTCTTTGTTACTAATGTTGTGGCCCCACCCCATAACAAAGAAACAGAATTTCCAGAGGATGAGGCCCAGAAATCAGCATTTTAAAAAGATTCCCAGTTGATTCTAATGTGCAGCCAAGGTTGAGAACCACTGCTCTATAAAGTCATGTTTTCAGGCAAGTGAATTAAAACATTCTCATTTACAATAAACTGCCCAGCTACTGCCACAGATGTGAGTCCTGAGCACAGCTGGGTCTGCAAATTTCTTTTGAGGTCTATCTCTCAGTTATTTCTAATCCAGATAATTACAGTCTTCATTTCTGAGTATTCATATTTTTTTCTGTGTTGAGTACAGTGATTTGTGAACAAAACTGAAAATAACAGGTAATCAAAGAATTAATGCACTTTATTGGAGATTCACCAAACTGGGAAGTTTTTATTTATCTTCTACAATGTAAATTTTTTAAAATAAAAAGAAATAGGAAATAAGACCTAAGTCAGCCTTTGACAGAAGCCAGCTCAAGAAGACAGCAAGGGCCACTGTTGATGTCACTATTTTCCTTTGTTTCCCCAGGTGGTTCCTTTGGCTTAGAGTTTCTGAGACAGCTTTTTTACAATCCTTGAAACTATTTTGAGTCCTTCTGATTCCATGCTGGCAGTGAAATTCCCAGCCTCCCTCCCGCAGAAGCGGCGCAGCTCCCTCCTGCCTCCCACAGGCGCACGTGGCTCCCACGGCGGGCAGCCAACTGTGCACAATTTCGCATGCTGGGCCACTAGTTTTTAAATAACCATTTTAAAGAATAGACAAAGAAGTGTTAATATGTATATTCAAATATATAGGAGTAATATGCTCTACTATTAGCCATTCCTATTCCCCTCTGGGATCCCCTCCAAAATTCCTGAACAAAGAAAATATCTTTTGTTCATTTTACTTAGTCATTTAATCAAACCCAATAACTCATTCAAACCCCTCAGTAACATGTGTTCAGTTTCAAATTCAATGAACAGAAATAATGAAATGAATTCAACAACCTGACGGATCTTCTGTTGGTCTGAAAATCTGGGTTCCATTTTCATTACACAAGAAACTGTTTGAGGACAAATTGCCTAAAACTGTAGATTCATATTCATATCTGTATGAACACAGGGAAAATATTTTATGTTAGAAACTAATAAAGGCAAAGTGAACACTATGCAGATTAATTCCTGCTTCACTTAAGGTATAATATTCAAATTTAGTAAAGAACTCTTTTCATCTTTGCCACGTAATCATCATAAATTAATATCAAAAAACTTGCCACTCATTATAAATGCGCAATCCCTTGACAGCTAGTTTTCTGTTATTTGCATGTGGATGCTCTACCTTTCAGATTACCTAACATCAAGTTTCTGTAGCTTGTAGGTGATCATTTACTGGAAACAATTACTGTGGGATATGGGACAAAAACTAATAAAAATAATAGACTCTAGACTTGACAAAATATAATTAAGAAGCAAAGGCTTTGTGGGGGGTGCGGGGACACAACACAACAAAACAAGTCTACAACTTTGGATTTTTTGAGGTTCGCTCATAAGAAATATACCCCCACTTTCTGAGAATCTAAACAATAATTCCTGCATGTGTTCATTAACCCCTAAGAGAAACAAAACCTTTGCCCATAAAATAAGAGACCTTAGGAGAAACTCCAACACTTGACAACACAATGTAATGATCTTTCCTCTTCTCATAAGAACAGAGGGATTAATAGACTGTGATCATTTACATTAGGCAAATTACCATAAGCCCAGCATACCCTTTGTCAGAATATCCTAAATTATCCTAAATTGTGAAAGAATGGAAGAAAATATGTCAAATAAAATCTCTCTTTGTTAGGGATAATGGTGGAAGACTTGCCCTCTGAGTTCCAAATGAGCTTGAATGTTAAAACACCTTTCCCTTAGAACAATTGCCTAGTCATGCCCATGAGTTTGACTGTGAACTGTGGACAAATGCTTCTGTCTCCATACCTATGATGCCATGAGACATGCCAGCTTCAAACAAAATAACACTTTTGGAAGAGGGTAGAGAGAAATGTAAATGTAAACACAACTTGGCATTGTGTTGGAGAGGACAGGAAATAAAAAGTCAGTAAAAAAAACTCTTTGCCTGGAAACTTCTGATCCTTACAGAAATACCTGAGAAGATGAAATGTCTTTTTCATGTAACTTATCCACTTAACACCTAATAACTCATTCAAAGTCCATTCATTCCCAAAACATCAGCAAAATGACAGTGAATGGATTTTAAAATAGAAAAGGAAAGGCAATAACACCACAGGGATAGAAAGAATGAAAAAATTGACAAGAAGATTTTGAAAATGGGAAAACATATAACTGAGTGGTCACTGAATTAGTAGATATCAAAAATGCAACCCTAAGTAAGTGCCTGCATGGGAACAACCAAGTGTGTGCCACATATTCCTGGAAAGTTTCAGGCAAGATATAAGACATTTCTAAATTGGTGAGTAGGCATGTTCCAAAAATAAGAGAATTGGTTTAAAGTGTGTATGAGGGGCAGTTAAACCCTTACAGACATCCTCTGCCATTCCAATTGAAACGGTCTTTGACTCTAGAGTGTTTGAACAGGCACATTGAGAAAAAGAAGGCTATACTAAAAACTAAGGGTAGTAGATTTTTTTTTAATGTACATACTGAAAAGTGAGATTCTCACTCACACCTGGATGGTAACCAAGCTTCTACCTCCTAGGCAACAGATTGGAGAACCCCTGTCAAAAGTAACTGATAGGTTATGGCTGTTCTGAGCATCTAAATAGCCAGTCCTTGTACAATCACCATACAAAGAAGTCCTCTATTAATCATGTCCTACACATTTATAGAGAACTTCCAGTTCGTTTGATGAAGTTATACTGCTCTCTTCTATATGAACAAAAAAACAAGAACCACCGGATGTAGGAGAAAACCCTATATCAGTAAAGATAGAGTCAAAACAAATAAAACCTGTACACTAAGAGGAAACAGAGACAATGAAGACGGAAGAAGGAAATTTAGATAGGAAAAGACACTGCATTTTTTAAAGAAAATAAGATGTTCTTTTAAAAGATACATTCAACACACAATAGTCCTTGGAAATTAAAAATGTGATAGCAAAAACTAGAAATCTACTCAAAGATTTGGAAAATAAAGTCAAAGAAATCTCCCAAAAAGTAACAGGAATTCAAGAAGATAGAAAATTGAAGAAAAAAAGTTGAGAAACATATAAGCGTAATCCAGGATATACAATATTCAAGTAGAAGTTCTACAAAAAGAAAAATAGAGGGGTAGGGGAGAGCTTACCAAAGAAATAATACAAGTAACTTTTCCAAATGTCCCTCTAGATCAGCAATTCTCAACCTGTGAGTCGCGACATCTTTGGCGGTCGAATGACCCTTTCACAGGTGTCGCTTAAGACCATCCTGCATATCAGATATTTACATTACGATTCATAACAGTTATGAAGTAGCAACAAAAATAATTTTATGGTTGGGTCACAACATGAGGAACTGTATTTAAAGGGCCAGAAGGTTGAGAACCACTGCTCTAGATTGAAGGCACCGAGCACAATGAAGGAAAAGAATTTACACTAGGTATCATGAATCCAGACTTTGGAGCTTAAGAGAAAATCCCAAAAGATCCCAGAGAAGGGAAACTGATCACAGGAGTGATAATGGCACATAATTCTCAATAGTAACACTGGAAGCTAGAAAGTATTGGAATAATACCTTCAAATTTTCTAGGGCAAATATTTCCAATCTAGAATTTTACACCAGCCAAACTATCAATCAAGGGTGAGTAGAATAAGAATTACTTCCCTTAGACACTTTTTCAGAAACCTCTTAGACAATATTTTCCACAAAAAGAAGTAAAAGTAAAAAGGGAAGCAGAAGATGTGATACCCAAGAAATAAATAACTGAATAGAGGCAAGAGGCAAAGCAAATTCCCAAGGATTATGATAAGGAAAAATTTCAAGGAAGCCGCCATGTAGCAGGCCTAGAGGTTCCCATTTGGATTGCAGATGATGAGTCGGTGGTGACAGGAGAGATATCCCTAAGATGAAAATGAAACCGTCTGATATGTATGAGTATATTGAGAAGATGTTGCCCTACCACTGGAAAGTTTGAATACAAATAACAAGAAAGTGAATTAATTTTTATAAGCAATGATTAAATCCAGGGAAAAATTAAAAAGTGACTACGAAATGAATGATAAAATATTGACAGTCATACACATGGAAAGAATGAGTATGATTTTATAGTAGAAAGTCATTATACATAGCATAACACTAAAGTATCAAAAACTAAAAGGATAAATATTGAGACATTGGGAGGCAAATAGCAGAAGAAAGAGGGAAAAGAGTTCCAAGTTGCTGCCTCCGGAAAGAAGTGATATGGGCAATGTTAAAGGGGCAGGAGGCAACTCTTTTTTCAACATAATTTTATTTTTACAACTTTGTACACATATGGCTTTAGTAAAAATTAAAATAAAAATCAAACTTCAGACTGGTCTGTCTCTTGATGACCTACAATTAAACAGAACCACATTATAATTAAAAGTGTCCAACTAGTCCAAAGAAAGGAGTCATCTCCAATTTTTGCAAGGCCCTAAAAATATTTCAGTCAGACTCAGTTCCATAAAAGAGGCGTTCCAAATCTCTATATCAGAAATTAACAAAATTTATGTGACTACGTAACTGGAAGCGAGGCAGCCAAGAACACAAAATGGACTGGTGGAACAGAATTTCCGTGTTTGGTTTCTGTTAAGGTGCTCTGAGTTTGGGGGAAGCATTGTTCCTAGAAAGGAAATTCCAAAGCTTCATTTCCTGCAGTTGAAAATTGAATCTAAAAAATTATCAGAGCCTGAATGCTTACCGGTCCATGAGGAAATGAGGTAGAGACTGTAAGAAACACCCAAGGCCCATAACAGCACATCCGATGCCAATCATTCTAGGTCTGTGAAATTTTGTTCCAAAATAACTCACAAATATAATCAAAAAAAGATTTCCTAAGGGGGAGAAAGTGAGTTAAAAATAAATATTTCAGTAAGTATGCACAATAGCTTAATGAACAGCCTAACTCAATCATTTACTATCTAGCATTCATTGTATAAACACTATCTCAACTATTGGGATTGGTGCTAGGGATTCATGAAACAAAGAAGACACAACCTCTGCCCTGAAGGAGGGCTATTTTATGTGGAGAGCGGCTACAGCATTTGGACAGGTTCAAGCTTCAGACTAATGAGAGGGCACTATCCTCTCGTGGCAAAGCCACGTGCAAGTCCCAGCACAATTACAGCCTAAGGCTTATAGTTGTAAGCTTGACCTTATGGTCTGAACCTGTGGTCCCATGTGGCTGAGTGATGTGGGCTTAATAGAGTTCAGGTGCATGTAATTGAGTAGATTCGAAACCCCTGAGAACGTTGTAAACATCTTGACCACGTCCTTACTTTGCCTTGTGGAATCTGGCTATAAAATAGACTCGGCTTGCAGGCCGTGGCACTGTCTCTCTAATCAGAGGGCAGTGTCCCATGTAGGCCCCAACTTTATTCTCTTGTCTGTCTTTTCTAATCCTTCACCGCCCCTCCCACCTCAGGTTCGCCCATGGCCGTGCTGGCACGGCACAATTTTACAATGTTGAAAGATACATAAGCAGATCTCTATGTAACAACAACAATTAAATAGGGCAGAGAAAGGGAGGCCAGAAGAAGGGATAGAAGACTGATTCTGGGAATTTTTAAAGGCTGTATTTGTGATTAGCTAGCCTTAGGTGTCAGACCATGTGTCACCTCTGGCTTCTCTCTCCATGCCTGCTCCACAGAATATCAGAATATTATGTTTCCTATGCTTGAAAAAAAAGAAGCAAAAGTCAAATTCAGATAGATAAATGTTTTACTAGCTTATGATTAAAATATAACTTTATATTGGTCAACATAACCAAGTGAGGGATCTGTGTTTATTTCTACTTCTTTCCTTAGAAGTAAAAAAATTGTGGATTCCCCACTTTTCCGAGTGTTCTTAGAAGTAAGTCTGGATTTGAGGAGTAAATAACTCAATGAAAAAATTGATTCCCATGTCTTAGGATAAAGAAACTAATGGGGGAAACCTGATTATGGACAAGCCCTTGATAAGTATAAAGAGCTGAGAGTCAAAAATATTCTTTTGTATCTGTGCCATCCTTTAGACCAGAGGTTCTCAACCCCTTGGGGGTTGAATGACCCTTTCACAGGGGTCACCTAAATACATCCTGCATATCAGATTTTTACATTACGATTCATAACAGTAGCAAAATTACAGTTATGAAGTAGCAACAAAAATAATTTTATGGTTGGGGGTCACCACAACATGAGGAACTGTATTAAAGGAAGATTGAGAACCACTGCTTTAGACCATGAGCTGAGCTATACAAGACTATGTGAAGAGTTTTTTGCAACTCCATCACCTAGCATACAGGTGACACAGGGAGCTGAACACTAGGAGACAGAATCAAGAATCGCCCGTTTCAATTTTGCCTCTCCTCAATCCTGATTTTTCGTTCAGAGCTTGATTAAATATATTAAAGGCAACTCTTATCTTGAAGGATGTAGGAGCCATAATAAAACTATAAAGGAGTGGTATTCATATTTCTATGCAGCAAGTTCACAGGAGAAATCTTTATCTCCCTCATTCTTCCTCTCTGTCCTCACATCTTCCCAGTCATCCACAAGAAGCAGGACCTAAGAATAGACTTTATCTTTCCTTCAATTCAGAGAGATGTGAAAGCAGTTTCTTCTTCCCTCTGCACTTAGGAAGAATTGTCAGTTTCGCAGAAACAACAGGAGAAGGAAAATATTTGCTTTTTCCTTTGGAAAACAGATTCCTTTTCCTTTGTTTTCCATTGTATTTCCTAAGTATCAAGATGGAGCCCTTAAGAGTCATCAAATTATAAATTAAATGTAAATATTATAAATACTTAACTACTTATGCTAAATAACGAGAAACTATTAGAATAAAATATCCAGTGCGGGACATGTGGTAATATTTAGGTGTTATTCAGATGCAATATTTAAATGAATTATTTCTAAGCATACTCCAAACTTAGCTAGGCTATTCAATCTGTTTCAGAAAATATACTCTTCAGTAAGATTAAATTGCCTAAAACAAATAAGGAGAATAAAATTCAGACTAGCTCTATAGGTAAAATAAATTATAAAAGGAAGTAATATGGGAACAATTCATTACCAATCTCAAAACTCCCATTAATAAATCCAACTAGTGATGTCGGGATGTTGAATTGTCTCTCTATTTGTGTGAGCATGGAATTCATATAAGATCCAGATAGTGTTTTGGATATAAATGCACATGTTATTGCCAGCAGAAACATCTAGAAAGAAAAGAATATAAGATTTTATTTTTAAATTGTATGTTTGCCACCTGTTGACAAAATACCTTCTATCACAAGACTGAATTAAATCTCCAATTTAAGTTATCCTTGAATTGACAAGCAACTTTTTGTTGTTGTTAATCCTCACCTGAGAGTATTTTTTCCATTGATTTTTAGAGAGAGTAGAAGGGAGGGAGGGGGAGAGAGAGAGAAACATCCCTGTGAGACAGACACATCGACTGGTTGCCTCCAATGCAACCCTAATTCAGGGCTGAGGATGAACTTGCAACCCAAGTATGTGCCCTTGACCAGGAACCTATATAATTGTATTAACCAATGTAACCACAATAAATTCAATCCTATATAATAAAGAGGTAATATGCAAACTAACCATCACTCCAACACACAAGATGGCTGCCCTCATGTGAATACAAGATGGCCAGCAGGGGAGGACAGTTGAGGGGGCCCCAGGCTTGCAGGGGAGGGAAGTTAGGGGTGACCAGGCCAGCAGGAGAGGGCAATTGGGGGTGACCAGGCTGGCAGGGGAGGGAAGTTAGGGGTGACTGGGCTGGCAGGGGAGTGGTTAGGGGGTGATCAGGCTTGGAGGCAGAAGCGGTTAGGGGCAATCAGACAGGCAGGCAGGCAAGTGGTTGGGAGCCAGCAGTCCTGGATTGTGAGATCGGGCCTGGGATCAGGCCTCAACGGGCAGACAGACATCCCTCTAGGGGTCCCAGATTGGAGAGGGTGCAGGCTGGGCTGAGGGACACACCCTCCCTCCCTCACCCCAACCCTGCACAAATTTCATGCACTGGGCCTCTAGTAAATATATAAAAATAAATAAATATTAAATTTATGATATTGATCCCTTCAGGTTTAATATAATCAAGCCAATGTAAGCAAGGCACATTTTAAATTATTATATTCATTATTCACATCGTTAGAAAAATACATTGTTCTTACACACACACACACACACAAAATCTGATTATTAAGCAATTGCCTCTCACTTTACCTGATAAACTTTTACTTGCATTATTTTGCCATAACATTCAGATCAATGTCTGATCTTGCCAAACTCAAAAGTGATCAAAAATTAAAGACCAACTGTTTATAAATAATGCCTGGCTTGACTTTTATCCACAACTGCTATTGATAATAAATAGCGAATATTTATTGAATTTTTACAATAGTACAGTCATTATTTCAAGCATGCGAAAAGAAAAAAATCCTATCAGATAATTATATTTTATTAACCTTCTCAGATGAGAAAACTGAAGCACAAAGAGGTTAAGCAACTTGTCTAAGGGTTGAAGCAAGTATGCAGTTGAACTTAGATATGAACCCAGGGAGCCTGGGCCTCGAACCTTATTTTTAACCACTCAGTTTCAGGAGAAGGACATGACAATTGAGGATAGTTTAAGGGAAAATTTACAAATATAACAAACATGGCATTTCAGGCAAAATTAGTTTTCTAAATCTATATCATAATCCCCTACTTTCACGTACATGTGTATATTTTCCCTACACACGTACAAAGAAAAAATAAACATTTGATAGGGAGAAACTGCTGGCAGTGTCTTAGTTTGGAAATCGCTTGCAGGCACTAGCTATAGAACCAAGATAAATATCCAGATCCTTTGGCTTAAAATAAATTCAGATTGTGTTTGAAGGCAAAATGCAAAAAGAAATTGCTGCGAAATAGTCAAGATATTAGAAACAGCTAACAAATGAGCATTTTTCTTATTGAAAATGGTTGGCATGCTGCCAAAGCTTGAAGTGAACAGTTGTTTACTTGATCATTGTGGAGTGATCACTGCCTATAGATCAGCAATCATTTCTGCCTAGGAACCATTTTCCAGGAGAGATCCCCACACTCCTCTGGCCCAGAGACCCCTGAAGTGGGGGAGGGAGCATTTAATTAGCTTTTGATCTAGGAAAATAAGTCCTGCTGTAGCATCATGCCTGAAAATGTTAAAGACTCTGTCTTCTGTTTAAGTTTCCCCACACTATCTTCGATTAAATTGCCTGAATCAATAACACGATTTAGACACACTTTCAGTTATAAAACATACTTCATTAAAGCAAGAAATTATCACCATAACAGGTAGTAGGACATTAACATTAGATTACTTCATGAACATATGAGCAACTTTATAAGCTCTAAGTTAAAAAAAAAATACATATACATACATACATACATGCAAAAAATTCCATACCTTCAACTTGGAAAAACATCTTATTCTATGGGTTTCAATTTTCTCAGTTTCTCCCATGTTGTTCTTCTGAGTGTTCCAAAGTATTTATGATTTAAATCTTGATATTTCTTAGTTCTATTGTTTTAAAAAGACAAAAATATATTAAATTACTGACAAACTCCTAAGTCGTTATTCTTTTGAAGAAAATACTAAATTTGAACAACATAATCAGAAACCACCGTACAAAAACACCTGGGAAGCTTTTGATCTCCATCTAGAAAATAATGACATTAAAGAAGATTTAGTTGTTAAGTTTCCATTGAAAAAGGTCACATCAAATAACTTTAGTTACTCTTTGGTGAGATTAAAGATAGAATTATTTGTTATGTCCTCTTACAAAATAATGACCATGTGGTTAAAACAAAACTTTTCCTTTCTTTAACCAAAATAAATAGAACCAAAGTGCACTTTTTTTGGACTTACATGGAAATGCTGCTTTTAAGAACACACAGACTTTGATTTGTGTTTGTGCTAAAACTCTGCTTCAGCTAGCCTATCAAAGTTCAAAAATCTCTGTTTGGCTAGGCTCCCTCTTCAAGTTCTTTTCGTTCCAATACTTCCCTGGAGTTTCAAGAAGGGAAGCACTTTCTGGGGCACTGCTGATTCATGGAAACCTGGGGAGGCATGGAATTTTAATTATGGAAATAGCCTAAGTAAAAACAACAAATAGTTCTCTGATCTGGAAAAGAATCCTACAGTTGCAAGATATGAGGTTTAGGAGATGACCAAACATATAAGTTTGCTGAATCCTATTCCCCTACACACATAAAGGCAGATCTATGTAATAAATACAGGTCTATTATATAGGCACACATTTTTACCTGTAAAACATTACTTAAACTCTATTCAATTTTATTAACCCCTTTTTAAATTTTTGTCTATTTTTGTCCTAGTGACTTGAAACTAGGACAATATTTTGTACCAAAACCAAAGTGTTCACTATGACAATATTTATTCTAGTAAATCTATTTTAAGAAGGGAGAATAATATATTAGCAGTATTTCCCAAGTTACTTTATGAAAATCCTCTGAACAATATCCACTTAACAAATAATCCTAAATGCACTAATTTTTAAAGACCTTACTGCTTTACCTCTATAAGTTTGCTGAATCCTATTCCCCTACATACATGAAGGCAACAAACACTGCACAGTGTACGAGCTTAGTTCTCTTTTCTCATGCTATGATGGACACAATTATATATTGAAAATCTACTGTGTGCCAGTCATAGTGTTAAGCACAGAATTTTGGAAACGAACAAGAAAGACTAGCTATCCCAAAGACAATATAAACTAATTAGGCTCTGTGGAAAGCACTTGTACCCAGATCCCAAGAAACCTATATTTTAATTAGGAATGGTAAAACTTTTAAATAAAACACACTGGGATATAACTAAACAGTGTATGACCAAATTACAAATGCTTTGGTATGTAAGAAATGAAAAAATGTATATATCATTAATGGAAATTGTTAAAAACAGTCTTGACAATTCCAAATGGCCCCACAGATGAACTCGTGCTGCAATCTCCACATAAAATGTCAAATCACCTTAACCAAAGTTCAAGTGCAAGAGCTAGTTTTGAAAAAAAAAAATGAGAGAATAGGATAACTTTTCAAATGAATGGGAACTGCTCTTCTTTGGCCCTCATCTGTAATACATATGCTTTTATTATACATAAACCTCTCGACTGCTCTCTCCTCTTCCTTCTCATGATTTAAAACCCAATCTTACTCCCCTTCATTTTTCCTTCTACCTCTCCTTGCCAAAATCCGAGCCCAATATAGTCACCCAATCAAACTAGAAGAGAGGAAGAGAACTTATTCCTCTTCCATGTCAAAGTTGTCTTCACTCTTTTTAGTGTAAAGACATGACTCTTCTAAATGCCTATGTTTTCCTATCTGACCAGGGGACATAAAAGGTGAAGTTAGTAACACAGAAGATCACCGCATTGTAGAATACTGTAGTTCCTTCTTTGCATCGTGACACTATGGAACCATCTTGAGCACATTTTATCACCATGCCTCAAAGGTTTATTTCAAAATGTGTTTGCTCTCTTGAAGGATGTCTTATAAACAAACGTGTTGACTGGGATAAAAGGCACTTTGAAGCTAAGCACTTGGAATGAAGTCAATGCAATTCAATTAACACTGAACATTTTCCTAATTTGCCAGCTTATACAGTGAAAACATTTTAGCTTTTCATACACACGTTAGGTGAGAAAAATAAATTAATTAACAGTAAAATCTATTGTTTCTTGAACAAAATTCGTGAAATCCAATAGTTAATGTCACAATCACTTTGAGCATTGTGGTTGCAAATCAGGGAAAGCACGCATTGTTTCTTCATATCCTTGAGAAGGGCAAGTGCCAGCCGTGTGAACAATCCCCTTTTGTTAGCACAGGGTGTTTACATGCTGACTTTTGTTCCTGGGACCACAGTGCCACAGATAAATCCTCATCAATCATCACTGCTAATGAAAATGACTTGCTGAAGCTGTATTAAGAGGAGAAGCATGTTATTTCTCTAACCCCTTCTCTGCATTCAAAGGGGAGCGGGAAATTCTTCAGTATGCATTCTCACAAAAATGTGGTTGCATTTTTTCCATGTCTACTGGTCACAATTCTGGGTTTCTTTTTTGTTTTGTTTAGTTTTGTTTTCATTGTAGTCAAAGCACATTACAGAATTGTTAACTATATACACATTTTTGGGTAGCAGGGCTCTAGCACTTTTCATCTTGCGTGACTCTGAACAGCAGCACTCAGGTTTTTGACACTCCTTAGTTGCCAGCCTTAACAAATCTCAATCGCAAAAGAATACAATTTTTTTACAAAACAAATAAATGACCTCGTTTGTGCTCTTTCCCCCGTGTTAGATATATAGACATCTTTTTTTTGAGACTGGGAAATGCATACATTTAATTTTACAACATAGCATTGAATTAACAAAGTAAAGGCTTTACTTTATCATGGCAAAACTAGTAGTACATACATGAAGAAGATTTAGGAGAATATCCTTTCCTTGGGGAAAGAAAGAGAGAGAGAGAGAGAGAGAGAGAGAGAGAGAGAGAGAGAGAGAGAGTCATACCAGCAACATCTTAAGAAAATTGTTTATTTCCAGAATCTTCAAATGGCTTCTCCCTCTGCAAGAAGAGGACAGCCTCTTGGGAGTATCCAGCTGAAATAATTCAACCAATACCAAACCAAGCAAGCATGTGCCAGTGGAGCACATGGAAAACCAACAATGACTCTTTGTATAATGCCTACAAAAATTATTTTAATTCTATTAGTTCATTTTCAACAGAAATCAAAGAATAAAATATTGGATTCTGCAAATAAGCCTTACAAATACAGGTATTATTTTACTTCTTATGATTAGAGGGGGTACCGGGGATGCATCACTCTAGGCAAAACAAAAGGAGAAACTTAATTGAACCATATGGTCATGCCTGTGATTTCTCCATGCCAACCAAAGAGTGAAATGCACAGAAACACAAGCAAAATAAATATACCTACTCTGTTACTTTAGAAAACTTACTGTCTGACTCTGATAATAGACCAAGACACGGAAAAGCCAAACTGATACTTGACTTCCCAAGTCTTCAGGAGAACTGGTTGTGAATAGCATCAGTGTTACAGCCAATGCAAATAACGCTAAAGAATGATCAGATTATTATCAGAGTGGCCAATCTTTTCCACACTGCCAATTTAAATTATTTTGTTTCTTTTAAAATTTTATCCCAATTTTGCTGTCCTTTTGCCTGCACACACATAGTTTTGGTTACAGAAACATGTTCCTTCCATTAATTATGCCAAGTAAATACTGAACTCTTCCTTTTTCTCATAGAGAAAGGAGTTTTTATCTCTTTGTAAAGCTCCCAAAATAACTGAAAATCCAAAGTGTTCAGATTTCCCCCCACCACCCATTTATTTTTGTACTTGTTCATTCACATTAACGGATATGGAAAGGCAGCTAGATATAATAAAAAATGTCAGACCATGAGGACGAGTCAGCTTGGGTTTAGTCCTAGTTTAGTTGTGAGTTGTTTAAACTCATTGAGCCTTCTTCTTTTTTTTTTTTTTAACTTATCTAAGGTACTAGAATATTTATTCCTGCCTTGCAATATAAGTATAAAGATTGAGTTGTAAATTTTACATGAGACCAATCCCTAGCATAGCTGCTGGCATAAAATAGTCACTCTGTAAATGGCAGTGATTATTACTCATTCATTACACAAATATTTATTAAAGCTCTGCTACATTCCAAACACAGTAGTTGGTGCTAGTGATACAAAGATGAATAACATATGTGCTTGTTCGCAAGTGGTCTCACCAACTATTGGGAGAGATAGACAATTAAATAATAATAATAGGTAGTTAGTGCCATAATGCAAACAATTGGAGCTAAGTAATCAGAAGATGATTAATGAAAACTACTTGGATGTTCATTTGGAATATCATTTGGATACAGTGTAGTAGTATAAGTACTTGAGCTTTGAAATGAAGCACAACTGGTTTGAAAGCCCGTTTGTTAAACTAGTTGTGTGATGTTTGTACAAGTCTCTTATCCATCCATACAATGAAGATAGTATCTGTCTTTATATCAGACAAGAAAACAGACAAAGACAGGAAAAAATAGAACCCATGAAAGGCAATTCAATAGAAGAATTTTACATTCTAGGAAACTAGTTACAAAGGTATCAAAGAATTAAAAAACCAACAGATTTATACTGGTGGAAAGTCACTCCAAAGAGAAAAGGCCTGAGATGCAGCACACACAGCTGCTTACTGACAAGGCACTGCTTCAAAGCGTAGAGGGAAAGATGCCCTGGCTTCCTCTTCTCTGCAACTCCATTTTCACACCAATGCCTCCCATTGATAACCTAACAGGAAATCAGATGCAAGGGAGCCTGGGAAATTTTATTTTCCCAGACAGTCCCTTGGGATAAAGAGAGAATCAGAAGATGAGAAAAAAAAAAAAAAAAAAAAACATGTGAGGTCAACAAAAACAAATGACTAACACAGCTATAGTCAGTTGGAGTGGAGTTAATATGGTAAATATGTAACAGAATGCTAACAAACAATCAACATTCAATGAAGGGTAGCTATGTATATTATTGGAAAATATACCTTCAACCCGAATGCCCTTTTTATTCTCAGTAATAGAGAATTCAGGAGATTTAACTAGTTGCAATGGCCAGCTCTTGACATTACTTATGTAGCTACTGCGATCTCTATGTGATACCAAATAAGATGTGAGATTTTTATCATCAAATCAACCGATTTTTAATTGACTCAACTGCAGAATTGTCATGTACTCTTAACTCAAATTCACCAATTGGTTCCATTTTGCATT